TTATTTCATTTTTTTTTTCAAACATTCTTCTAGGTCTTAATGCCCTGGTGTGTCCACTTGCCATACAGCGGTAACTTGTGGTTGTTGTGAAGCTGAACACTGGACAATGATGTGTCAAATATGTTAATGATTACCCATGGCAGACAGTCTTTGGTGGAGTCCCCAATTAAAACAAGCTTGGAAGCAGGAGTGGCATCCACTTCCGTAATAGCTTGCCTCTGGAAACCCTATAAACCTGGAGAGAGGATGAAAGTCACACAAGTGTTGGACCTTCCTTCATAGGGTCACTATGAGTTGCCTACCACTCAATGGCACTTAACAACAATAACAGCAACATTATTAATATCACATGGAGATAAAATCTTGAAGGTTAATTTTTAAATGGTTAGAAGTACATACTGACAGAGCTTTGCAAGGTCAACCTGGGTTTAGAAAAGGGTGTGACACCAGGGATATCATTGTTAATGTTAGATGAATCTCGGCAGAAAGCAGAGAATACCAGAATGTCTATTTTTGTTTTACTGACAATACAAAGGCATTTGGCTGTGTGTATCATCACTGTTTAACCTTGAGAAGAATGGGAATTCCAGAACATTTGTGTTCATACGAAACTTACATGTAGACCAATATGTTGTCTTAAAGGAATAAGGAAACACTGCATGGTTTAGAATTAAGAAAGGTATGCATCAGGGCCTCTCTTCATATCTATTCAATATATATGCTAAGCAAACAATTCGAGAAGCTGGACTCTATGAAGATGAAATGAAGTTGAATGTGGCTTATGTCATGACTTTGCTCCCTGAAAATGAGGAAGACTTGAAATGCTTGCTGTGAGAGATCAAAGACTGTGGCCTTCAATACAAACTATATCTCAACATTGAGAAGACAAACTTACTCACCACTGGGGCAATAGAGAACATCATGATAGAGAACAGATTGAAGTCAGCAATAATTTCCTTTTCCTTGAATCCACAATCAACACTCTTGGCTCCAACCAAAGTTTTGATACATATCAAAAGACGTATTCTATTGGGAAAATCTGTTAAGGAACTTTCCAAAGTACTGAGGAACAATTATCTCAGTCTGGAGACTAAAGACTGCCTGATTCAAGCCACAATCTTTTCAGTCACTTCCTGTGTATCTGAGAGCTTGACCATGACCATGACTAAGGATAACAAAAGAAGATTACATGCTTTTGAGTTGTGGTGTTGGAGAAAAGAATAGAATGTACCATGGCCTGCCAAAAGAACAAACATTTGTGTTGGAGTAAGTGCAGCCAGAGTAATCCTTAGAGGAAAGGATGGTGAAGCTTCATCTCACATATTTTGGGTATGTTGTGAGGAGGAGCTATTCCTTGGAAAGGGATATCCAACTTGGAAAGGTGGAGGGTCAGTGAGAGAGACCTTGAATGAGACGAAATGACATAGTGACAACTGCAAAAGGAAGTGTATTAGATCTGATAAGGATGGTGCATGATAGGCTAGGATTCAGATCTGTTGTTCATAGGGTTCATGAGTCATACTCAACTTGAGGTATTGTAATGATGACAAAAACAGTATATCTAATGAGGGAGTTCTGGGGGTCAAGGGGCTGCACTGGCAACCCAAAGGCATGTGGTTCAAATCTATCCCCTGCTTTATGGAAGAAAGATGGGTAGTCTCCTCCTCTATGCAATTTATAGCCTCTGAAAACCCACTGGAAGGTCAGCTATGAATTGGTTCTAACTCAAAGCCACATAACAACAATAGCCAATGATCTTGAGCATTTATTTCTTCGTGTGTGTCATCTGGATGTCTTCTTTGTGAAGTACCTTTTCATATACTCTATCACTTTGTAGTTGGGCTGTTTATATTTTCCCTTTTGAAGTGTTTGAATTTTTTATAAAGTTCAGAGACAAGTCCCTTGTCATTCAGCAATGATAATTGCTGAATATCTGTCCCCATTCTGTAGGTTATCTTTTTCACTCTTAGCAAGAAGTGTTTGGCTAAACCCAAGACTTTAATTTTTCTTACATCCCAACCAACAACTTGTATTATCCAGATGATACAACTTTCCTTGCTAATACTGAGGAGGATTTAAAACACTTGCTGTGTAAGATCAAAGACAACAGAATTCAATATAGACTACATTTCAAAATCAAGAAAACATAAATCCTCACCACTGTGGCAATAAGCAATATCGTGATAGATGGAGAAAAGATTGATGCCAACATTTTCATCTTGCTTAGATCAACAATCAATCTCACTGGTCCCATTAGTCAATAAATTTGTGTTGCTTTGGAAAAGTCTGCTGGCAAGGACCTCTCCAGGATGCCAAGGACAAACAATATCAGTTTAAAGACTAAAATTTGTAGAAAGGGTAAATTTTTTTTAAAGTAAAATTTTTTTCCTGACATTGAGATGCAATCCATACTGTAGGCTGTATTCCTTGATATTCTGCAACAAGTGCTTCAAGTTCTCACTTTTTCAGCAAGCAAGGTTGTGGCATCTGTATAACGCAGGTTACTGATGAATCTCCTCTAATATCCTGATGCCACACTCTTCTTCCTAGGGCCCAGCTTTTTGGATAATTTTCTCAGCATACAGACTTTTTAGGTATGAAAAGAGAACACAGCCCTTACACACTCCCTTCTCAATTTTAAACCATGCAGTGTTCCCCTGCTCTGTTTGCACAACAAACAAAATACCTCCTGGTCCAAGTACAGCTTTTAAATATGCTGAGGAATTTAGCTTCTATTCCTATTTACATATTGTGTCCACTGGTTTGTCTGTTCCTGCACCAGTATCGTGTTTGTTTTTTAATTTTTTTTTTATTCCTAGGGCTGTGTAGTATGGCTTGAGATAGATCAGTAAATGTAAGGCCTCTTACTTTTATTATAGAAGCACTTTTGCAAATATGGGGTCTCTTTTCTTTCCATATGAGGTTGTCTTTCCCCATCTCTTTGAAGAATCACAACATCTGGATTCAGACATGTGGGTAGTATTGCTATTTTCACAATGCTGTCTTACAATATTATGCATGGTATATTCCATTTATATAGCTGTTTTGGTTCCTTTTAGTATTCTTTGTGTAAGTCTTTTTTATCTAGGGTTAGGTATACTCGTAAATATTTCTTTTTTTGATCTGGTGGCCTAGTGGACAGAAGCTGTGCTGCAATCCCAAAGGCACATGGTTTGAATGCACCATTTGCTCTGTGGGAAAAGGATGGGCAATCTTCTACCATGTGATTTACTGTCTCTGAAAACTTCCTGGAAGGTAAGTTATGCATCAGTTCCAACTCTATGGTACTAAAAAACCACCACCTTGTTACTATGGAAGAATCAGATTAATTTTCTTTTTTTATTTGAGCAAAAGTTTAAAAACCATACTGAGTTTTTATTCAGTCATAGGCCCTTGGCTTTGTAACATTACTATTGATTGTTGTTGTTGATTGCCTTCAAGTGGAGCATGATTCATAGCAACCCTATGAACAAAGGGCTTGAAGCCTCGCTACAACTATCAACATTTATCAAAAAGTTCATAGGGTTTCTGGAGGCATGTTATTTAGTAAGCGGATGCCACTCTTGCTTCCAAAAAAATAATTTATTACAAGTTTAGTAAAACTTCTCACATATTGCTTTTCACTTCACCTAGACTATTTGTTTTCACTCCCTTCTCATTTCCATTAACTTTCCAACACTGATTCTGTGTTAATAGTCTTATGCCAAAATTGTCCTTTCATAACTGACAAAAGGATATATAACTCAGCATAATTTGATTGATCTATGTGGTGCAGTATTTCACAAATTCTTGAACATTTTTTAGTGATAATTATGCCATATTTTGTTTCATATTTTACAGTGAATATACTATATTTTCTTCTGCCATTTGTGGGTTGTTAGACATTTTGGGTTGTTTCTTATTGTATGCTACTGTAAATCATGCTGCAATAAACTAACGTGTTTGTTTGTGTGTGTGTGTCTTGTATCTGTATCCTTGGGGTATTTACCTAATTGTAGGATTGCCAGAACAAATATCCTTTCTATTCTTAACTTCTTAAGGAAGTGGCAAATTGTTTTCATGCCTACCCGTAGTGTTTGAGAGTTCTAATCTCTCCCTGTCCTCATCAGCTTTTGTCATTTGCTGTCTTCTTGAACAATGAGATTTTTGGCAGAGTGAGATGACATCTCCTTTATGTTTTGATTTGCAGCTCTCTCACAGGTCAGAGGGGCTTCTGGCGGCCATACCAAGCGAAAGGCAAGAGGTTGGTACCCACCAATTGCTCAGCGCGAGGAAGATGGGCAATCTCCTCGGGTGCGATAGTCTCTGAAAACTCGCTAGAGGGCAGCTAAGAATTGGTTCCTAAATGTGCTGGTGTACAGAATTGTACCGGTAACCCAAAGGGTGCCAAATCCAGTTCAAACCCACGAGCCGCTCCAAGGGGGGAAAGTGGACAATCTCCTTCCTTGAAACTTAAAGCCTTAGAAAACCCCTGAAAGGTCAGCTGTAAGTTGGTTTCAAATTGACAGCGTTAGGTCGTCTCTAACCGGAAATATGCTGCAGTCAGGTTATGAAAAAACGTGTAAGACAGTTAGTTTTACAAATGCTTAGTAAGCTTTCTTTGCTGTTATGGAGAACGGAAAGTGGTCATTCAGTGCCCCCACTCTGTCCCTGCCAAGTGAAGCTGTGGGCTCAAGACCCATCCTAGATGTACTAGATGTACCTTGTTACATATACAGCCCGGTTCCCGGGCCCCACCAGCGCGTGAGGGCCACTCTGCAGCAGCGTCGCTGGGGAATTCTGCTGTCAGGTGGCTTGGGGCCATGGAGTTGGTTGCCACAATAAAAGAGAACGCGGGCTGGTCCCACACCATTCTCACCCAGCTCCTAAAACCTACCTAACAGCTCACATCACTTCCTTCAGGCTGCTTCCTCGTTCCGTCCCGAGGCCATGCCCCGTTACCATGGAGGCGGGAAGAAAGAGCATTTCCGCTTCCGGTGGCACTCCTACTTCCTGCTGTAATGGCGTCTGGAGGTGATTTACGCGCTGGGGACGTGGAGGAGGACGCCTCGCAGTTGATCTTTCCCAAAGGTGAGACTTGTGCAGTGCCTTAGAAAGGGTTGGGCGGCTCGATCCTGTTCCTCTGCCTCGCAGCTCTGGGCGCGAGCCAGGCACTGCGTCCGTGATCGCTGGCTATTCCGTCTGTGGTCGCCGGGCACTGCGTCCGTGGTCACCGCGCACGGAACGTGAGGGGTGCGCCTTGATCTGAGAGATGGGAGCCGCCCCCTTGCCCTCTATAAAATTGCCCACGTGTCTTATGGGAGAAGAGGTGACAGTAAAGAACCCTAAACTATCAGAGTTTCCTCCGTTTGTGGAACGTACTTTATTTAGAAACTTAAAAGCAGCGCGCTGTAGATTTGGCTTCCTGTTGTATTTATTCATCACAAATGCTGGATTTAAAAAAAAATAAATGCCGTTTTAACTGCACAGTATCATTAGTCACAGTCACCATTGTGGCGGTGCAATTTTCATGACTGTTCTTTTCCAAGAAAAATTTTTTTTTGCCACACAAATTCGGTATCCGTCCTCCATTACTGAGCTAATTACTGATAAACTTTTCGTTTTGTATTTCTATAAATATAGTGATCGTAACATAGTTGTTGCCCTTATGCGTCTGTCTTGTTTCACCTCACGTGCTCGCACGTGTGCCAGCCATGTTATGTGGAGTGGAGTTTCAGTGTCTGATATTTTGGAAGTAGATCACTAATTCTGGCTTTGAGCCATCTCTGGCTGAACGCTAGCCTTCAGCTTCATAGTTAACAGTTTATCATTAACTTTTTGCAAGTTATTTTTTCACTGAGCACAATGCTTTAGCGTGTATTCAGATTTAACCGTCTCACATCTGAATACTGTCCCCTTGTATGTATTTTCCGTATCTTGTAAATCTGTCCATCTGTTGATGGATCTTTGAATTGTTTCCATCTCTTAGTAAATTTTTGTTAATGCTGCAGCGAAAATTGGTGAACCCATTTGAGTTTCTCTCTCAAGCCTGTGAGAATATATTCTTAGTGGTAAGCTTTTTGGTTAATAAAGTAGTTTAATATTTTGAGAAATCATCAGAATATTTCCTCAATAATTGACCACCTTTCATTCCCACAGCAGTTTCTCCGCTTACTCACTAACACTTGTCATTTTCCATTTTTCTGACCATTGTTATGTGCGGTCCAGTTCGTCATAGCGACCCTATGTACAACAGCCCTAAATCGTGCTCTGTCCTGTGCCAATCTCACCGTCTCCGACAAACCTATCCCCATTACTCCAGTCACTGAGTCAGTGCACCTCATAGAGGGTCTTCCTTTCCTTCGCTGTCCCTACATCCTCCCAAGCATGACATTCTTCTTTAAGGACTGGTCCCTCCTTGCACTCTGTCCAAAGTATGTCAGAGGAAGCTTCAGAATCCTTGCCTCCAAGGAGCAGCTGGGTTTAATCATCTCCAGGATGAGCCTGTTCATTTTCTTAGCAGTATATTCATTACTCTTCTCTAGCACCAAAGCTCAAAGGCATCAATTCTCCTTGTATCCTCCCTAGTCATTGTCCAGCTCTCTGATGCATAGCAAGCAATTGCAAAGACTATGGCCAGAGGTAACTCATGGTTGTTGTGATGCTGAAGCCTGTGACAGTGATGTGCCAATCGTGGTAATGGGCATCCATGGTGGACAGTGTTGGCTGGAGCTTCCCGACTAAATCAAGCCTGGAAGCAGGAGCGGCATCCACTTCCAGAATTGGCTTGCCTTCGGAAACTCAATGTACGAACAGTGCAGATAGTTTGAACCACTCAGCTACTACACAGGACAAACGTGAACAATCACTTCTGCTATTGACAGCTTCTGAAAACCCACTGGAAGGTGAGCTAGGAGTCATTGCTGGTACATAGCAACATTGATGAAAAAATATTTTGTCTTGCTTTTGATTTTCATCTCCTTACATTCCTTACAGTCTGTCATTCTTGTTTCCATTCATCTTTCTATTCTGTGCCTTTTGTATTATCCCTGGACAAATGTTGCCTTTTTGATCATGGATGATTGGTTGTTCTAAAGACTGAATACCTTTCTGATACTGACTTTTAACTTTAGAGACATGTCTGTTATTTGTCTGAAAGTTGAGCTCTTCGCTTCCAGATTCAGAGGGTGACAAGGGCCTTTGTTGTTGTTATGTGCCATTGAGTTGCTTGCAACTCATAGCGACCCTATGTACAAGAAGAGCCCAAAATGCCGCCCTATCCTGTACCAACCTTGCTGTCTCTGACACACCCATTCCCGCCACCCCAGTCACAAAATCGATCCATCTCATCAAGGGTCTTCCTCTCCTATGCCGTCCCCCAAACATGATGTCCCTCTCCGAGGACCAGTCCCTCCTTGCAACATGCCCAAAGTATACGTCAGACGAAGCTTCAGAATCCTTGACTCCAGGGAGCCTTCTGGCTTCACCCTCTCCAGGACAGACCTGTTTGTTCTCCTAGCAGTCCGTTTTCAATACTCTTCTCCGGCACTACAGCTCAAAGTCATCAATTCTTTTTCTGTCATCTCTATTCACTGTCCAACTCTCTGATGCATAGCACGTAATTGTGAAGACTATAGCCTGGATCAGGCGCACTTTAGTCTCCAACCTGACGTCGTTGCTCTTCAGTACTCTAGAGAGGTCCCTCAGAGCTGACTTTCCCAATGCAATTTGTCTCTTGATTTCCTGGCTGCTGTTACCAAGAGTGTTGACTGTGGAGCTAAGTAAAATAAGACTGTTAACTATCTCAATCTCTTCACCATCCGTACTGATGCTGCCAGTTGGCTCAGTGGTGAGAATCTTTGTTTTCTTGATGTTGAGCTTCAGTCCTTATTGAAGACTGTAGTCCTTGACTTTCTGCAGTCATAGTCTTTGCTATCACTTGCTATGTGTCAGAGAGCTGAACAATGACTGTTGTTGTTGTTATGTGTTGTTTAATATGCATGCTGAGAAAACTATTTGAGAAGCAAGACTCTGAGAAAGAATATGGGATCAGGATTGGAGGAAGACTATCAGTAACCTTTTTATGCAGATAACACAACCTTGCTTGCTGAAAATGAGGAACATTTAAAGCTTTTGCTGTGGAAGGTAAAGGACTATAACCTTCAACATCTCAATGTCAAGGAAACAAAAAAAATGCTCACCACTGAACCAATAAGGAACACTGTGATAGGTGGAGAAAAGATTGAAACTGTCAGTGACTTGATCTTACTTGGATCCACAGTCAATACAGTTGGTATCAGTAGTCAGGAGATCAAGGGACGACTGCACTGGGAGTGTCTGCAGTCAAGGACTTCTGCATATTAGTGAGGTGCATTACACTGATGTTAGTTTGAGCATTAAGGTGTACCTGATTCAGACCATAGTCTTTTCAGTCACTGGTTATGCATCTGAGAGCTGGGCAGTGACTAAGGATGACAGAAGGTAAAGGAGCTTTGCCAGCAGGGTGGGTGAAACTCAAGAATTGACAGCATGGAAATTTCTGTGAATTTTCTAAAGGCCAGAGGATTTCAAAATAATTTCAGTATTCAACAGCTGTTGGTGCTGGACAGCATGTATGATTGTTTTGCACTGAAAGTGGTTCTCCTTATTCCCTTCTTGATTTCTTACCATTTTATTTCTAATGAGAGAATAGATATTATAGACCATACCCATAGGGAAACTGCCCTTATATCAGATGGTTATGATGGTTTTAGGGAGTGTTGTATTCTACCTTTAATTCTCTTAACATTAGGTTTAGTTGGTCATGGGGGATCATTGCAAAGCTTCCACATTGTATTATGAGCATGTGTTTGAGGAGGAATACATGTTAGTCCATGTTCTTTGAGAAAAATTTCCTAAGCTTGTTTTAGCTGTATTCATTATGTGATCTTGCAGATAACTTCCCTACTCAGATTTTTTTTCAGCATTTCTGAAAAATGACTTGCAGCTCTTATATTAGCACTTCTTATTTTTATGTATCTTCAAGTGGGAACTGACTCATAGCAGCAGAACCTCTAGCAGGTTTTCAGAGGCAATAAATATGATGGGAGGAGATTGCCCATCTTTGTCCCACAGAGCAGCAGGCAAATTCCAACCATGTTTCTTTGAGTTGGCAGTGTACCTCCTTACTAATAAGCTACCAGAACACCCTCACACCAGCACTTAGAACTTCACTTTTATGTAATTTCAATATTATGTAAATGATCATTCTAACTCCTACTTGAGCCAAATTATCAGTTATTTTCATTTTCTACATATCCAGCATTTTAATCACTGAAAAAGCTTAGAGCTTTCTTTTTTATAAGAGTAATAAGAATATTGAGATCTGATGGCCTAGGCATGTGGTTTGAATTCACCAGCTGCTCTGTGGGAGAAGAATGAGCATTCTCCTCCTGTTTGATTAACTGCCTCTGAAAACCCAACAGAGGATCAGGTTGGTTCAGAGTCAGCAGTAAACAACAACGAGAATATTACACTGATTTTTACTAACTGAATAAGTAGCAGTCTTTGTATTTCAAAATTAAACCAGTGGTTTATTAACAATGATTCCTTAGGGTAGAGCCTTTCACATATTCCATTATTTTTGCTTTAGTTTTAAAAACTAATCTGATCCTTGTTGTATCCCATCGAGTCAGAACTGAACCATAGCAGGTTTTCAGAGGCATTAAATTGCATAGGCAGGATTGCAGCACGTCCTCTTACCACTTAGGCCACCAGAGCTCCCTGAACCTAGACCAGTTATATTCTTTTTTTTTAAATTACTTTATTATTATTATTATTAATTTCAATGAATAGACCAGTTATATTCTAATGAGCAACATAAAGGTAGTGCCAGCATTCTTTCTTTACTAGGAACATTGTCTTTCATTTCAGATTCTGACTACAATAATCATCAGTATGGCAGTCTGTTGCTAAGTACTTACTGTCTGTAAATTCTTAACCTGGGGAGTGACCTTATTCTTTCCCCAATAATGCCAGTTGACATATTTCAACAAACAATACTACCTTGGAGGTGCTCATCAAATTGTACCAAGAGATCTGGAGGACAACTG